TTCATTTAAAGTTCATTTCCAGAAAACATTTAAATTAGAGGAAGAAAAAAAAAGCAGGGTGGAATATAAAAAAACAAATAGCCTAGTAAACTAGCCCCTCCCACCAGCGGCCAAAATTATTTTGGCCTGCGAGTGGTCTAGCCTCGATCAACGCCCCAGGCCCTAGAACTGGCGGGCCAATCACAAAGCAGAGATGTGTTTTGAATTTCTGGATGCAAAGCGGGCGGGGTTTTGAGGCTGTGACGACAAAGCTGTGCGACGGTGTAGAAAGCACAACAAGGAAGATGGCAACAACTATTGAACAGTTCTCGTTTGACTCAGCTTTGGAATCAGTTTTGGAAGGATTAGATTTGGGGCTTTCATTGAAACGTAACAGGAAGAGGCTCTATCCTCATTCATTTTTAAGACGGACATATTCAAAGTTTTAGAGACAGGCTGTTTGTTTACAATCGCCCCACCAGCTTTCTGTCGCACTTACATCAAAGTGAGTTGCGCTCATTGGTCAGAGCGTTAGCCAGTAGGCACAGACCTAGTTTGAAAAACAACAGGTTGTTCTCATCAACAATCTTCTGATGTCTCCTTCATCGGGGCCTGACTAAATTACACATTTAATCTCACATTTAGTCTGGTTTATCAGGCTATGAAAAAAGTCTAATCAACCAAAACCTCCAGTACCTCCTTGGACCTCTGTTGAAGACCTCCTGCTTAAGGGGTTAAAGTATAAATCAACATTAAATCAAAGGTGTTTGGCTTTACAGTTACAACCAACTTGTGTTAGTCCAACATTAAATCTGATCAGGTTTGTGGTCGCCGGCGGCGTACTTACTCTGAGCTCTGGCTCCTCAAAGTAATGCAGAGAGAGAGTCTTGAGGTCATGTGTCCCGGGGTCGTACTCCACTACAGCCAACTGGTGAGACAGCAGGGAGATCATCACTGAAGCTGATCGCCCTGAGTTTGTTCTAAACATCTTTAGACAGGGGATACCTTTGCATCTTTAAAACTGAGGAGGAGCGCATCTCTGTTGGCGCCTATCAGCTGCACACTCGCCATGGACATGATGTTACCAAAGAGAGAGAAGGAGGCCACCTGCTCCAGCTTCTCCTTACGGGTTTTAGAATCTGCAACAGAGTCAATAAGTCTTAGTAATGTTTATGTTGTCATAAAAAACACAGATTGGTGTCAGATGCCTGGACATACCGGATGACTTTTCAGTTCTGGATGTGCTCTTCAGGAATAAAACAAAAGGCAATCACAGAAATGTTACACAAAGACAAAAAATGGGTCAAACTAACAGCTGCTTTTACCTCAACATCGTGAATGATCCTATAGACGAAAAGCTGGGATGTTCCGGCGATAACCAGGTTTTTCTCCTTACTGGATATAAAGTTACAATAGACGGAGAACTCCACAGCAGTGGGGGTGTGGGCCTGCCTGTACACCGCATACATCCTCCTAGCTTCGCTTCTGCCTCTGATGGGAGACAGCAGACATGTCAACACCACTGAGTTACCAACATTACTGCAGGACTCATTGAAGGAGCTACTTTAGGGAGCGTGTGCAAAGAAAATCAAATCACTGACACGCTTTAGGATAAAATACATCGTCAATTAAATTTTCGGGTTATGTTCACAATGTTTTAATAATTTAAACCTTAAATATGCCTGAAACATAAGTAAAGCAATCATTAGGTTCAGGAAGTCATTGTACAGAGACGCCGGTTCCAACAGCTAGCTTCATGCTCGTGCAGGTAGCTCAGCAGCTAGCATGTATTAGCGGTTGTTCGGGTTCCATAAAAACAATGGGAAACAAATTTATTAACGTACCTATATCCGATAAGTTATCTAAGCTCGATGCTTTATTATATGTCTTTTCATACAAACGTAGTGCGTCATATTTCTGAGTTAAATGACTGTTAGCGCTCCAGCTAATTGCCAGGCAACCTGGCGGTTAGCTTTGTTGTGTTGCCCTCTGAGTTCTTGTTCTGTCAACAAATGAAAGGCACGCAGGCGTGTTGCTGCCCCCTACAGTT